GGGATGTTAGGAACCATCTGGAGGGGGTCATGTTAGGAACCATCTGACTGTGGGTTTTTTTGTTATGAACGATCTGACTGAGGGGGTTTGTTAGGAACCATCTTATTGTGGGGTTCATGTTGGGAACCATCTGACTGAAGGAATGGTTGCACTGTGAGCCATCTGACTGGGGGGTTTGGTTTGGGTCAGGTCATGAACCTACAGGATACAGTGACCCGTCAGAGCAGCCCCAGCAGACCGTGTTTAACCCGCTCATCAACAAAGCTGCTCTTCACTCGTTGGACTGACGGAGCCAAATTAGGCCGAGCTGCGTGATGTTCTGGGCGCAAAGAGAAGGTGATCAAACAGAACCGGGTCAATGGATCTTCTCTAATGGAGACATTCACACTTGGCAGCGAGCGGTTTCATTCAGCTGCCAGCACCACCGAGGTCGAGTCCAAAGTGGAAAAGTTCTGGCTCATCTCGAGGAGTCACCGAGACACAGACGAAGAATCTTCAGGTCTTTAAATTAGGAAGTTTTTTCGTTTTCAGAATAAAACTCATCAGAAAGTTTCAACGTTTTATCTTAAAAATACAAACAAACAGGATATTTGTGGAAAATTAAAAAAAAAAAAAAAAAAATATATATATATATATATATATATAGAGAGAGAGAGAGAGAGAAGAAAAAAAAACAAAGTTGAACTAAAATCTGCTCGGATCAGAACTTTCTGCTCTGCTGCTGTTTCGTTTCAGTTTCAGTTAATCTGACGTCAAAATAAATGAACTGATCTTTCATTTCAGCTGCTCGGTCTTCGTTTGTCTCGTTACAAAGTTGGATAAATACAGAATATTTCTGCGAGACAGTTTTCATCTGAGTCGGATTAAAGTTGATTTTCTGATTTATAATAAATAAAATAAAAACAAAGTGTGAGCGTTTCCTTCGAGGATAATGAGCCAGAACCACTGACCCGACCGGTAGTTTATTTTTGTTGCTCAGCCTGCGAGCTCCTGATTATTGAACTAGATTTAATCATTTTGCTCATATCTGTGTTTATTCTTTGATTTTTGGTTTGAATCTTTTTTATTTTACATGTTCAGTTTTGTGTTCAACTGAAGAAAGCAGTGACATATTACTGCGCTCCAATAAAAAGGGGTAAAATTAACAAGAAATACATGAAAACTTAAAGAATCACATAAAATATATAAACAAGATTAAAAACGTATCAAACTTTAAGGATATGGAAGAAAAATTGCCATAAATATCTAAAACCTCCTCAGATATTCAACTCTGACCTGTTGATGTTCTGCTTTTAGTCTTTATCATGAGTTATTTTCTTTTAATCTTTACTAATTGTTCAAAAACAATTAATCCAAGAATCCTGTTTATTATATTTATGAGGTACAATCTCGAAAAACTCAAAAATAGAAAAAAAAAATTTAATTAAAAGCTCAGAACTCAGGAAGATAAAAGTATAGACGTGAAGAAATGAGGACAGAAGGAAAAACGTAGGTTTCTGTGCTACGTGGAAATGAAACAATTCAAATAAATTCAGAGGAATTCATTTTAAATTAAACAAAACTGATTAAGATTTATTCAGCTGGTTTTTAAATATCTGATTCAGGAGACCTTTAATGACCCTGAAAGAGCAAAGCTGCGGAAACATCTGGTTCTTTTTACAAAACATGGGATTTAACAATGTTTTCGGTGCATTGTGTTAGCTATGTGCTGACAATAAAAACATGTCTGTTAATATAAATAACAAATATTCACAAACTATAGGCACAATTTACAAAAAGTTATCATCTATGGCACATATTTACACAAGTTTTAGCACTTTAGTCCAGGGGTTCCCAACACTGGTCCTTGTGGAACACCAACATACATGTTTTAGTTGTTTCTCTGCTCCGACTCACCTGATTTTAATAAATGGGTGGTCAACAGGCTTCTGCAGAACACGAGGAAGTAAATAAATCACTGAATCAGGTGTGTTGGAGCAGGGAAACAACTAAAACATGCAGGATGGCGTTCCTCAAGGACCAGTGTTAGGAACCACTGCTTTAGTCAACATAAAAACAAAACAAGCCCCCTTTTTTATCAGTTTATAATGAAATATAACTGTGTTTGACAGAAGGGCGAGCATGTAACTGTTTTGAGGTAACGTTGGCATCACAAAGGCAGCTTTGGCAAGTTCAAAACAAATTAATGGTTTAAACTTTAAAAAAAATCTTCAGACATTGTTTAAAAAGAAACTCTCGTGAATATCAAAAAAAGTTTTAGTTTCTGGATATTTTATATTTGAACGGGGCTCTAAAGTCGTTTGGGTTAAAAATAAATCATTTTTAGTGAAAGTTTGATGAAGAATTGTTGTTTTCGATCAAAGATCTGCGAGCTCGTTTCATCTCTGCGTGTCTTTGATCTTTTAACGGAGATCTGAAGAGATTGTGCTCCGTTTTCAGCCTCTGATGCTGTTTTGATGAAACGTCCTTCCTAAAGGCGTCTTATTGGGCGGTAAAGTTCTGGTCCGGAGGCGTCAGACCTCAGTCCCGTCCCGGGGGTAGATCAGGCTGTTGACACTGAAGCTGTTGTAGAAGTGGGAGTTGAACTGCCCCCCCTGCCCCCCGCCCAGCGTGTTGTAGTAAACTCCACGGTTAAAATGGAAGCCGTCGCCGTGCTCCGACCCCCCTGTGTCCTGCCCGCCAGGGTGGCCGTGGTGGGGGTATGGGCTCAGGGCGCTCACGTTCCTGTTGGACAGCTCGTTCACCAGCCCGAGGGGCCCCTGCCGGCCGGGGGCCCCTGAGCCGAGCGCCGACATGCTGCTGTAAAAGTTATTGAAGCACGGAGCGTTCGAGGCGGGCCCCGGCGGAGACGAGGATCTGTGGGGTTCGTTTGTCGGGTCCAAGTCCGGGGAGGAGGGCCCCAGGAGCTGGGGGCTCTCTGAGGGCTTCAGGGAGGGGCCCACGGTCCCCCTGCAGTCCTCCACCTTAGCTGCTCCTGCAGCTCCGGCCACGCTCGGGTCGGACCGTCGTTTCCTTTTCCTGCGAAAGTTCCCGTTGTCGAACATCTTCTCACAGTTTGGATCCAGCGTCCAGTAGTTCCCTTTGCCTGGAAGAACAAAGAAATCAACATGAATACAAACGACCGCGGCTCTGGAAATACTGGACCACGAGTGAAAACAAAAAGCTGCGCCCGCCTGAGCTCATAAACACAAAATACTGCACAACCAAACATCGGAAACACGTCAACCGTTTGAGCTGAGCAACCGGACCCACTGATGGAGACCGAAGAAATCTGATGTCAGCAACTATGTAAAGTTGCTCCACATCTACGTTGCCCATTCAGGACCAGAGGACACTGGTTGTTGGAGGACCAGAGGACACTGGTTGTTGGTGGACCAGAGGACACTGGTTGTTGGAGGACCAGAGGACACTGGTTGTTGGAGGACCAGAGGACACTGGTTGTTGGAGGACCAGAGGACACTGGTTGTTGGTGGACCAGAGGACACTGGTTGTTGGAGGTTTTGGAGGGAATGTTGTCCCGTTCTGGTCAGATGGAGGACTCTAGCTGTCCTTCAGTCCTGGATCTTCTCTGCTGGATGGAACAGATGTTCTAAAACCTGGAGATACTTTTCTGCATTGATGGAGTCTTTCCAGATGTGGAAGCTGCTCATGTTGGAGGCACTAATGCACCCCCATATAATCAGAGAGGCAGCTGTTTGACCTGTGAACTGATCCAGGCTGGATCGTCCCTCTGCTCTTTAGTCTGGAGGACGTAATGTCTGTGGTTTCCAAACAAAACTTCAGATTTGGACCAGTCTGACCACAGAACGGTTCTGGACTTCACCTCAGCCCATTTGAAACGAGCTCTGGTCCAGAGAAGACAGCAGTGGTTCTGGTTCTGATCACATCTGGCTTCTTCTTTGTCTGATAGAGCTTTAAACAGCATCTGTGGATGAACTGTATAGAAACAGAACCAACCAGACTTGGTTTTACTGCAGTGGCTCCTTAGGGCCTCGTCATTTGAACTCAGATTTCTTCAGATTCTTCTAATCTGTGGATCAGATTATAAACTGGAGATGATGGAGATTAAAGTTTTTATTCAGAACCTTTATTCTGAAATTCATTCAGGAACTTTATTGTGAAGTTGTTGACAGACTGCTGAATCTGTGTCCATCTTTACTTCTACAGTCTCTGTTTGTCTCCAGTCCTCTGACCTGCTGATCATTCACCTCATCAGACTAAATGTTGGTTCTGATCCGGACCGCTGGCTGTTGGACTTCTGCTGCTGGAACAACTTTTTAAAGATGTTTTGCTGACATCAAATTAAAAATGACTTTTTAAAATTTAGATTTACGATGATTTATTTAAATTATTTTTCACGAGAGTTGAAAATCGTTAATTTTTTTATTTAAATCTTGTTTTGTTGGATTAAAACTAAAATATATTAAATTAAACTCCTTAATAATTCCAATTCAACCAGAATGTTTTCCTTTATTTAACGTGTGCAACAGCATTTATTTTCTGTTTATTTACATATTTATGTTGTTTATTTTTAACAAACAGGAAGTTGTGAAATATTTTGAATCTGAAGCTTAAATTTTTACTTTGTAAATTTAAACGGTTAAAATGAGGTAAATCTAACGTTTAATGTTTTTAGAAGTATAACAAATTAAAATAAAGAACTACATTTCTCACTTTTTGTGCTTCAGCTGCAGAACTTATAATAAAACTAACTAAATTAATTAAATAAAGGAATTTACATATTTTAATAATCCTTTTAAAATTTTTACAAAGTAAATGTGCAGCTGACCCAAAGTGAACCCTGGCCTCAAATTATCAACAAATATTCATAAATCTATTACACATTAATAAATCATACGTTTGTAATAGTTGTTTGAATGAAGCATTCACTCTGTTGTGATCCATTTTTCTTTCGTACGTTTTTTGGCATCTTTCTTGTTCCATGACTTTTGTGCTATTTCATCAAATCATGAATCAAAACGTTCAGCTTGTTCAGGAAAATCCTACAATGACTCTTCGTACTGGTGCAACTTTAGCTTTTTGAAATATTTTTCTGCCATTTTTTCCTCATAGAAAATGAATTGAGCTCATTTTACCTCCTTCAAGTCTTTATATATGTTTACAACATTTTATTGCTCCTTTCACATTTTGTTCTGCTTCAGCTTCTTTCAGCTTCCTTGAGCAAATTAAAACTTTTTTCAGCTAATTTCAGCTGTTTTTTCAGATGTTTTGTACTTCTTTCAGCTTCTTTCTGCTAACTACAACATTTTTGTGTTTCTTCCATTTTCTTTCTGCTAATATCAGCTTGTTATGCTCCTTTCAGCTTATTTATGCAAGTTTCAACTTTTTCTGCTATTTCAGCCACCATTTAGCTGTTTTTATGCTAATTTTAGCCTTTTCAACCAATTCCACATTTTGGACACTCATTTAAACTTTTTTTCTGCATAATTCTGCAAAATTGTGCTCTCCATTTAATTATGATAATTTAAGCATTTTTCTGCACTTTTAGCTACTTTTCAGCCTTTTTTTTTATTTATTTCAGCTTTTTTCAGTTAATTTCCACTTTCTGTGCTCATTTCTGCTTCTTTCAGTCTAATTGGGCAAACGTGTTTTTTCTGCTTACTTCTGCTAATTTGAACTTATAGTCTACCTTTTCAGCATTTTTAGCTAATTTTAGCTGTTTTCAGATAAATTCAAGTTTTTCATGTTATTTTCTGCTACTTTCAGCCTGATTAACTTCTTTTTGCTCCTTTCAGCTTTTTTGCTCTTTCAGCTACTATGTAGCTCTTTTGATGATAATTTTAGCCTTTTCCACATTTTTTTTTAGCTCATTTCAGTTCTTTCTGCTTCAAGCTTCTTTGTGCCTTTTCAGCTTTTTTTAAGCCAATTTCCAAATGTTTGTGCTTATTTCTGCTTCTAATACAGTAAACATGTGTTCTGTTTTCTTCTGCTAATTTAGGTTTGTTGTTCTATTTCAGCTACATTTCAGCATCTTTATAGCTAATTTCAGCTGTTTTTCAGCAATAAGCGTTCAAACTGCATTTTCTCAGGAAATGCAGTTTGTTATAAATTAATTATAAACTTGAGGACTGTTGGGAGCAGATCTTTGCTCAAACTAATTAATCAGGTTTCTCCTGTGGTCTGTTTTGGTTCTGTTCCCCTCCCTCCCGGTTCTGGTACCTGGGTCGTCCTCGTCCCTCGGGACCTTCTTGAAGCAGTCGTTCAGGGACAGGTTGTGCCGGATCGAGTTCTGCCAGCCCGCCTTGCTCCTCTTGTAGAAGGGGAAGTTGTCCGACACGTACTGGTAGATCTGACTCAGGGTCAGCTTGCGCTCCTGCGCGCCCTGGATGGCCATGGCGATGAGGGCCGAGTAGGAGTAGGGGGGCCGGACCAGCTTCAGCAGCTCCTCCTGGGTGCTGATGGAGAACCAGCCCAGGTCCGGCGCGCCGAACCCGGCAGAGCCGCCCACGAACGGCCGCTGGGAGCCGTAGGAGGGAGGGATGAAGGGCGCGGGGCTGTAGGGGGCGGAGGGGGTCACCCCCGGTCCGTTGAGCCACAGGTACGGGTTCGGGGAGGACGGGTACTCCTGGAGGCCGTAGCCGGGCCTCTGCGCGCCCTGCTGGTGGAACCCGCCGCTGATGGAGTCGCAGTAGGCGGTCATCGGGTCCGGGGACTCCTGGCGCGCGCCTTTGGGGGGGAGAGAGCCCAGGGTGGGGGAGGTGTGGTGCTGCAGGTGGGACTGGGGGTCGGAGGGGTTCATCGCTCCCCGCGGGAAGCCCGGATGACCTTCTGAGGGTTCGGCTGGACCTGCCTCCAGGTGATTGCAACAAGTGTCAGACAGGAGGGAGGGCCGGGCTTTAAAGGTGGAAAACCTCCCCCCGACAGCCAATCAGAGGGCTCAGGGGGCGTGGCCTAGAGTCATTCTTAAAACAGAGGTTTTTTATTCATGGACTAACTCTGAAACTGTTCAGTCATTTCAACAAGAAGAAGGTTCTGTCATTAAGTGATGACGTCTGACAGACGTGCTGAAAAACAGCAAATAATCCAAAAATAAAATCTGAATGACTTTCTGTTTTATTTTAGCTCTTTAGGTGCAGGAGCGCCCCCAGGGGTGTGTCAATGGGGGGGCCAGGTGGGGGGCCACTGAAGATCCTGAGGTGACACAAAAACCTAAAGCCAGAACAGAAATTCAAGAGGTTTGTTCTGTTATTGTCATATATTTTATTGACAATTTACATCACTTACTGAAGAAAAAAAAAACAATCACCACTAAACTTATTAATACTTGTCCTCTCCTAAATTTATTTATTAATTCAGTCCAGTTTATTTAGACCAGCATACAGGTGAAAACTTTGGTTTTCAATTGCTTATCCTTATTCAGAGGGAATAGATTATAAATTAAAATTTTAATTAAATGTTTATTTACATTTTTAATGCCGAACTTTTCAAAAACTGTTTATATTTTTTGTTTGTTTGTTTTAGAAGTTCTACTGATCCTAAACTGCCCCTGCTGAAGTGACTTTCACAAAACTCCACAGTTCACTATTTAAAAACAAATAGTCCTTTTTGTCCTCTTAGGACACCCAGATTTTCTTTGGACATTTTTGTCTCATTCATGGTGGCCTCGTGAGTCTTTTGATCTAAGGGCAGCAGGAGGGATAAAGACTTCGGCTGATCTTTGGTTCTTCAGCCACATTCTTAAACAGAAAGATTACTGGGAATCATCTCTGCATCCAGGTCTCTCTTGTAAATGAGTCCTCATGGCTCAATGGGACGGACCTGTTTAAATAAAGGTTGAATGAATGAAAAATAATTTAGAAACCTTCTTGTTTCAGGTTATCCAAAAACATATAAAGCAATATTAAAAATACTCTTTATTTTAATTTCACCACATGAAAGCAGTTAAAAAAATGCATTACTGGAATTTCAAAGGTTTTCTAGTTGGAACAATAGATCTTATTTGATCAATAACTATGACAGCTAAAAAAGCAAGATCATAAAATACTGCAGGCTGTTTAGTTTTTATAATTTTTATAAGTGAATGTCAGAGCCCTATAAAGAAAAAATAAAATAATAATATCTCTCTATGGCGCTGGTGAATGTCACAGTCATTTTTTACGCTGCAATGCATTCTGGGTATATTTATAGACCAGTTGCGGCAGGTGTCTTTGATGATAGAGGCAGGTGGAGACCCTGCCACATAACAAAAGTTCATTCGCCCCACAAAGTAGTTCCTCCTGTAATGTAAATTACTTGTTGAAATATGTTGCTGTGAATTGTTTTGTGTGCATTTGCAACTATTTTGACCATTTATCCTCAGTTTATTATTATTATTATTACTGATTTACATTTATGGGGCAACATTATTTGCTGCGTCATATTTTCTGGCTTGTGGACATTTTGGCGGGTTTTAGCGCATTAATACGTCACTACTAACAGTAGGCTTGACCTGAGCTGCAGTGAAACTTTCAGCGACCAACAGTGGAGATTTTTGATGTAAATACGTTTGGAGTGGACAGAGGGGACCAGAACAGAAAAACGAGGACAGAGAGAAAAGAAATGGGACATTTTTGCCAACATGGTAGGCTCTTATTTAAACAATTCGGTAACTTGTTTCTGTGTATGGCTAATAGCTTTAGCTCCAGAGCTAATTTATATGAGCTAGCTTCACAGCTAATATCATTAGCTCCAGAGCTAAAATATTAGGTGAAATATGTAAAAATGTACAATTTTAAATAATTGAGTTTTTATGTGTCACAAACAACAACTTTTAGTTGAATAGAGAAACGGTAAAATATTAAAACTAATATACATCCAACGCCCCAGGCATTTTATCAGTGCGGTTCATCTAATTAGCATAAAGGGCAGCGGCTTTTTATGTACCTTCAACTTTTTTGTTTCTGGATTGTTGCTCCTGAAGTTAGCTTAATCAACGAAGTTTGATGTAAAAGAAAACTAATTTCTCTGCCAACTTAGAACAAAAAAAATCCAAATCCACCCACCAGATTTTTTTAGAGGAAGTTTTGTGCTGAATTTTTTTCGGTCAGAAACTTTATTAAACCATCTCAAACCATCGACTGCGCTGAACGGTAAGTAGTATATTTTCTAAAACCCATAATATCTTATTTAGAATGATGTTTTCTATTTTTCTATAACTGATTAATTTTAAGGAATTTTATCGACGCTCAGATTGTCTAATTTGGTGGACAGAATTGCATGTCCAGATCTGAGCAAAAGCTGATGTCGAGTTTTAGCCATGATCATTAGATTCTTATATTTTAAATGTAGTAAAAATACGTTTCTTTATGAATATCTAGATTTTTTTGTGCACTTAATTATTACATTTTTAATCTGTGGTGAAGTCAATGTAAAAATTGCTCATATAAATGGAAACAGGTGGATTTTGATGGCCTGCTTTTTTCAGTTTTCTGTTGTGTTCAATGATTTGTCAATGGAGGGCAGTTGATAGATGAGATTTTTTTTCTTGTGATGAAATTTTTGCTTAACTCCTTTTTTGTAGCAAGCTAAAAAGGTAAAAAAAATAGAGTTCTGTTGTCATTTCAATTTTTTTTTAGGTCATCATGAAAAAAACCCAGAGGAAACCACCACCGAGCACACCTGGAAAGGCACAACATCAATGAAAACTTATGTGCAGTTTCTGAAAATCCACACAAACTGAATGGACACATAATCTTTGTTTTTTGAAAATGACAGATGTCTTATTCAAACAATAAATCATGTAACCTGTAAAGTTGGGGGAATTTTCATCAAGACTTTCAGATGAAGGATGAAACTTTCTACTTTTTGTTTTTGTTTTTTGGAATGTCCAGAGGATCAGACTTAACTTTTTTAGATTTTACTGTAATGATTTAAAATCTGTCACCAAAATTTTAGAAAAATGTTACAATATTCACAGAGACGATGTGATGTCCAAGTTAACAAAATTTTGTAACAAAAACTTCACTCTTCTATAACAAAGACCAGGGGATGAGGGCTTGATGGATGTGGATTCTGCACCAGGAGCAAATCGGAGACCTTCACCAGAAGTCCATGGGACACCCTCAGCTTCCTCCTCTGCAGATACTGGACTCTTCTTGGTTCAAAGAAATATCATACCCCGCAAACTAAAGATGAAGAAATGTCTGCATTTCTTATCGTTAAATAACAAAAAGCAAAAGGAGCAAATGAACTGAAAAGAAAACTGAAATTACCTCGGCAAGTTGTAAACCAAAAAACAAAGACAGTCGACCAGAATAGCTTCCAAAGAGAAAGCAATTCAAGTTTTAAGGAAACACTTGGTGGAGGACAGACGTTTTACAGAATTAATGCCGTGAAAATAGAAATGACAAGAGAAAAGGACAAACCAACAGAGTTTGAAATGCAACAAAAAATCCAGGAAATCCTGTTGCTCGTGTTGAGTATGAACAGCTTTTCAGTAAACTAAGGGAGAAGGACTGTATTATTGGGCAGCTAGAGAATGAAAAGTTAATTCTTGACGAAACCGTTTCAAATCTTTCTTCAGCTGATTAAAATAAATGTGCATCCTGTGTGTTCTCATCTGAAATGCGGCTTAAAGTGTTTGACCACATTACTAACCAGGTACCTACAACAAATATCCCACCTCTTGCAAAGCAGTCTGGTACTGATGAAAATGTCCATCGAAGCACAGTGGAAATGATGGCACGTGAGTTGGGCGCCATTGCAGATCTCCAGATAGCAGAAGATGTTCTTTCGAATCCAGACTCTACACTTGCATTTTATTAACCTTTTTATTTAACCAGGCAAATCCCATTGAGATCACAGATCTCAAAACTGTGATTTGATGTTATGACTTAAAAGGGAGCTCATGTAAATGACGTGCACTTTACCACAAGTGACAAATGCATGGTTGCTGCTATGGAACAGTTACCAGGAGGTATCACCAAAATTTACGCCCAACATATTGAGAAAACTGAACAGTATTAGTGAGGCTTATGCATATTTCCATAATGTTAATGTTGCTGATACTAAAAAAATAAGTAAATAAATAAATGGTGAACAGATTAAATTCAAAAACAGACAGGTGTGCTTCAAACCGGGGTGCAATGAGAATGGTTGAGGATACCTAGGGAAAGTCATTTAATGAAATGAAGTGTCATTAATATCCATTAGACATCATTGCCTTGTCATCAAAAACTGTTTTTAAAAAGTTAGAGGAGTCACATGGCAAGTGTTATGGTAGGGATTGTTTAGCTGGAAAAATCATAATGTTGGGGTAAACAAAATGCGCTTTAAGAATGGAAAGGGAGATCCAAAAGGATTTATTGCATTTTTGGAGAAGAAGCAGCTCCCATGTGGTCTTGTGCCACATTATAAAGGCAGTAGACTACACATACTGTTCAAAATCTCTGCAATTCTGATGGAACATCACAGCTTAATTCTTATTTGATAAAGAATATGCAGACTGTGGGGGCCTTCGGCAAAGCCTTCTTGAGGATTTGGGCAGGGAAACTGCACAGCTGGAACTTATTTTTGGTATACTTGGAAAATATCTTGGAGGACCATGGATGACCAAATTCTATGTTTCAGCTGATGCTGAAATAAACTGTCTATGGCATTAGAGTAGTCAGATGTTTTATCCGTCCTTCAAGAGACTGCTGTGAATCCATTTCTTCTCTTAACAACTGATAAGGGATAAGAATGCCTTTGGGAATTACATCCGAGGAGATCAGACATTCCTCAAGCTTGTGCAAACTGTTACAGATGAACGTAACTCCTTGTTCACAGAAATGGCCAAGTGCACATTGCAAGCCATCATTGAGAGACAATATAAACAATTATTTGCAA